TGGTAATTCAATGTCAGCTCATGTGATCAGCAAACACTTGCAAAGATTTCAATGTTCACTTATTTTTTTTCAAAAAAAGCACAGAGATTTCCTGTAGTTGGTATGATACAGAGTCCTGATTTCCAGCAGACAGGATTTTGCACTGTCCAGTGTCGCACAGGTAACATGAGGAATTCAGAGTCCTGGACGACAGTGGCTTGCGTATACACCAACAGCTCATAACCCTTCAGCTGGTAAATTGAGATGTGGACTACTGAGTTTGATGGGCCATTTTAGGATTCAAGCTAAGGAGGACACATGTTCTTCTGCAGACATGCTCACTTTCACACGGAAACTTTCTCAAGGAGAACAAACCAAAATGAAATGGATAAAACCAGGCCAAACTGTTCCTTTTCAAAGTGAAATATGTCCTCTGCAGAGTTCACCACACCCTGATGAAGAACGTCAGGTTGAGAAACCTAAGTGAGTTCAGCTTTGTTTCCAAAATAATGCTCTTTACCTTTAATCAGAGAGACGTAAAACAGGTTGAGCTCTGCAAACTCAGCCTAGAAACATTCTCATTATGTACAACTCAGGGATGAATCACCACCATGGCAGATTTTCGTTCTTGTAAGAATCGCTTTGTAAGACTGGAACTAGAACTGCAGGGTTTGTGTTTCTTTCCCTTGGTGGTATGAAGGATAAGAGAGCAAAATATTAGTCTGTTACACTTTCTTCCCGTCTCCCTGTTTCTTTTGAATTAAAACTATCCTTCCTAAAATCGCTGCACAATTCATTGCAGTGCCTGATGTGTTAAAAGGATCAGTCAGCAAGAACCTGTAGATAATTGTTGGTGTCTGTGAGCTGGCAATAAACATTTATTTTTCTTTCCAGTGCTAGCTGCATATTTAGCTTCGAGCCAGGAGGAAAACCTGGAGAAGCATGTTCTTATTGATCAGATTAGGAGAAGTCCTTCTGAACTCTCTGGGGTTTCTTTCAGAAAATGTCACCCAAAGAGAGAGATTCAGTAGTTTGTGTTCTTTGAGAGTACTGGATCAAGCAAGATGTGAGAACGTCATTGTGAATGTTTTACCATGTTTTGAACCACATACATGAGAAACACAGAAATTTGTATTTATCATAGGGAAGTAGACTTCACATGCTATGTTCAAGGCATGACAGCTCTTTTTTGAAGGCACTGTGTGGAGCATAAAATATGGCAGGCTAAGGAAAGACTCGATCTTGGCTCAACTTACTGCTGAGTGAGGAAGCTTATTGCCTCATATGTGGAGCACAAACAGTGTTTACACTTTTGCAAACTGGAAAACGCATGAGGGAGTAAAATCAGGAAGGCAGGAAACTGGAGACATTCCTGATACCGGATCTCTAATGAAGTCCATCAGCTTCCCTATGGTTGCAGTTAGAAATAGGATATTCAGAGTGTGTTCAGATGGTGCAATACAAGAGGTAGTCATGCAGCCTCTAAACTGTGTTAGCTTTAATAGCAGGGTAATAAAGCTGCGTTGTTATTGTACACTGTCTCAGCTAATTATTTTGCTCATAAGCTACAGTGAGCTCTGTACTAGCACAGGTAGACTCTTTCTGGTCTCTAAAGTAGCTCAAGGTTCTCCTGACACAGCAGGGAATCTTAGAAGGCAGGCACTTATTTTCACTTTCCAGTAGTCACATATTACTGCATTCACTGTGGGAAGTCTGGACTCTCACAAATTGATGTACAAAACCCTGTAAGTAGAAGCACTGTCCTTGCTCTGCTTTAGATAGGCATGAAAACGTGGGTTCCTTTTGCCTCTTTAGGGTAGCAAGGTCTTGTTTTAAGACAAAATTGCTCAGAAAATTGCCAGCTAGAAGGACTTTTCAAGAACGGACGGCGTGTATCTTCCTACAAATCCTTTCATAGTGTTCATTGGTGTTCTTTCAACTGCTAGAGGAGCTGAAAAAGGAAGAAATAGGACCAACATTAGTGTGTTACAGGATCCTGCTGGTAGTCAAGGACACTCTCACGTCAACACACGTGTTTTTTTTCTCATAAGCACATTTTAACCCGTAAGCAGCCAAAACATCACTCCCATTTTGGGGGGCTGAGAAAACAGGTCTCACAAATTGCTGAATATTTTCACAGACTCAGACTGATGTCCTGTAACACGCTGCTCCCTCTGTTTCTATTGATTTTTTGACAAGTGGGCTAGATCCTGCCAGCTTTCAACTGCCTTCTCTCTAGAGTCAAGCGTATTTTGAGTTAGTGTTCCACCTGTGATCATTCTTCAGCCTAGATTCACATTTTTAGGAAAAAGCTTTGCAGTTAGAATAATTTAATTATGCTTTTGGTTTATGTTTATGTCCTCCTGTCTGACACAAGGAGAAATAATTATCTCAGATATAGAAACAGTTGCAATTATTCCTACACATAGCTTTTCCTACCTTTTACCCTAGAAAGGTAAGGTGTTTGCACAGTGTGGTCTTAGGCTGCTGCTAACTGCTACTTTTTGTAAATGACAGATAAAGTCAGGATATTGTTCCTCAAAATAACCCCGCAGTGACTCTTCCATGCAATGCTGCTGCCTTACCTGGAGCTGCGTATTGCTTTTCTTACAATGTTGAGTTAATTTTTTTTCTCTTTTGCGAAAGCAGGAGACACAAAGTTGGCTGTTAGGTGATTAAGCAATGCCTCCTAAAGTTGTAAGCACCCTGCAACACGCATGTCTCTTCTTGCCATGTAGCCAGTGCCCGGCGGGCTGGGTGTGCACTCAAACTGCTTTCATACAGCCACAGCATTTGTAACACCACTTCGGGAAAAACACCTGGGCGAGCCTGGCGGAGGAGGGAGGTGGTGGCATGGGCAAGGTGCCACCACACATGGCTGTGGCCACCAGGCACTGCCCCCTGAGACCCCAGCCCAGGCGATGCTCCCACCTTGGGGGACAGTGCTGTGCCATCAGCTCATTTTGGGAAGCAAGGCTGAGCTTTGGCAGACTGTCCGTCTGCTGCTCGCAGCAGCGGCGGTGGCAGTGGGTGAGATGAAACCCCCAGGTCTTGTGGTGCCTCAGCACTCTCGGGGTGGGCGGCTGCGCTCTGAGTCTGCTCTGGGCAGTGACACCCTTTTGCCCAGGAGTTTTGCACCTAACCACAACTGGTTGTGCACCTAACAAAAAACATCACATCTAGATGTCCTTGTCATTTCCCTCTTCTGCCGGAAGCTAAAACACTCGTATCCAAGAGCAGTGAGGTCACTGATGCTGAGCAACTTCTTTTATGGTCAGGTGCCCCTTTTTTTGCCATTTTAGAGGGGTGGCAAGAGCATCCTCAACAGGGTAAATTGAGCTGTGGCAGTACAAGAAATTCCTGTTCCTGGCTGTTTCCTTTCATACTCTGCCTGAGGTGCTGCCCTCCCACCCGTGTCTCCGTGTTGCATGCTCTACCTCCAAGCCTCCTGTAAACTCCCCAAGAGAAGGCTTTGGGCTAAAATGCTGGGCTGAGAAGCTGAGATGTAGACACATCTTTGCTGTCCCTTTGAGTCTTCCCAGGCAGCTGCCTATTTAAAGGAAAAATAATACAGCTGAAAAGCCCTTTGAGCAGGCAGAAGCTTTTTGGTATATGGGAGAAAAAAGACATGACATAAAACTGAAAACGTAGTCCAATAGCTAGAACAGACCAGGAATCATAAAGCGGGGGAGTTGGTGAAAAGCAAACAAAAAGGGAAATTGGTTTTGATGGGCTGATGGAAGGAAAAGTAGAGCTGGAAAATTCTAATCCATTTTTCTAGTCTACTAGCAGAGGTCGTTTGGGGCCTGGGGGAAGAGAGGTTGAGCACCAAGGTGTCATTCACCAGGGACAGGATGGTGGCTTTCGTGCCTGCCCGACATTGGCCAGAGGGAAGGTACTTTGCATTTTATTACTTGCATGCTTGAAGCAAACAAATTGTCAGGGTACTGGATATCAAAAATCTTAACTTACTCAGTTCCATTGGGAACTTTTACTCAACAGCATGCTCTACGTTTCAGTTGAGTTGTAATTATCAGGGTTGTTTGGGCTGTGATAACTTTTCAGCACTGCTGCTGTATATATTTGGTTAGAAGCCGACACCTTACAAACACATGGTGTAGGTGAGGGGGTGAAGTCTGTAGATGCCCAGCAGACTTTTAACTGCCTACTACATCTACATAACGCAATTTTAAATGTGTCAAAGTGGGCTTTCTACATGCAGAAAAGGAGACACTTTGAGCTCTTTGAGCAGTAGTTGCCCCTCAAGACTTAAAATATTGAATAAATAATACCTTTTTTTTCAGTTGTTATGCCAACACAATATGCTAAGATCTGACATGTTATAACATAACGTTATATAATTTGAAAGTGAAAGTATTAATATCCTGAACAAGTTTTTCAAAGATAAATGCTTCTGACTTTGAATTAAAAGCAGAAGTCCAATTTCCCTTTTACAGGTTCCAAATCTTTAGCTTAATTTAGGACACAGAGCTGAAAAGGCAGAAACCACCAAATTTTGACATTTATGGATTATTGCCATACCTTTAAATTTGCATGCCAGAGTGGTAGTTCTTCTATAAACACTTTTTTTTAAAGGAAGAATTGAATTAGTTTCAGGGACGGTCTAATTCTGCTTGTCCAGGCAAAATGCTGCTGGTTTTATGGCAGCTGCTGAGGCAACGAGATTTGTTACTGAAGGAGAGTGTCCATTCTTTACATTCCATCTTTACAGTAACTTTTATCGCAATTCTTAATTGTTAAATCTAAAGAGGAAGCTTGCCCGCAAGCCCTGTTGCATTTTCTACAAGAGGTCAAAACTGGTGTTTTTATGCAATCTGCACTTAGTGAATGATTCCTTGTGGAACTAAAACGCTCACCTCCGGGAGGACAGAAAGCTTTCCTTCTTGGGAGCTGACTTTCTTTTCACATTTGTTTAAAACAAGCATTTCATTATAGACCAGAGAAAAATACTGCAAGGGATTTTTTTGTTCCATTCTAATGTATCTTCCTTCTGATTTCAGCTTGGGGAAGAGCTGCTGCTGCCACATACCTGGTCGGCTTTATACTTCTAGTCATCTGTTTTGCTCTGGCCATCATAGCATTTGCCATTGACACGCTTCGGTTCAATTTCATACGAGGGATTGGAGGCTTGCTTTTTGTCGCTGGTAAGGCAGTATATGAAGTCAAGTTTAGCTTCTGCGGGTATATCCATACTAGAACTGGTATTTCCCTCTGCTGATTCTACACCCAGGTCTGTGCCTGAGTGCACTTGAACTCTCAATGAAAAACAACATAAAGTCTGTCAAGGCAATGGATCGACTTTCAAATCCTCCTAAACATGGGTGGGTTTAGCTACAGGTATTATGGAGGCAGGCAACGTGACGGGTGTTTGCCTAAACATTTTTTGTTTTCTCCTGTTTCTTCAGCTGTGTTCTCCATCATGGGCCTGGTCATTTATCCAGTAAAGTTCTCAACTGAAATTGACATGACAGGGATCAATATGTTCAGCTGGGCCTACGGCTTTGGCTGGACCACCGCCATTATGGAAATATGCTTGGGATTCTTCTTCTGCTGCCTTCCTAACTATGAAGATCAGATCTTGGGTAATGTGAAGCCCACATATTTTTACTCTTCCCCGTAAGCACCAGGAAAAATGCGTTCGTATTCCAGAGATATCTGACAGACTAGCTACGTTTTCCAGAATATCGTCATCAGATGTTGGTAGAAAAGGCTGGAAACTTTTCAAATGTGTGTAGAAAAATGGTACTGGCATTCTGCAATAAAGTTATCATCTACTCTATTTTGGACCTCCATATCTGATGTGGGTTGGTTAGATAAAGTCTAAACATTAAAAAACCTTGGTTTTCCTCATTCATTCCCATGAGTGGGGTGTATGTGGATTCCATTGCATCTGAAATGCATTCGTATTTCTAACTAAATTCAGAAAAACTTTTTCCAGTAAACAAAACAACATATATCATCTTCCTGAAGGAAAGCAGCTCACAAAAATCCCATTTTGTACGTATCATTTTTAACCTGAAGATTTTCCACATTTTTCAAGAAGCCAAATGCCTTTATCCACTGACTGCCAAAGTAGTAAATTAGTCAGCCAGCACTCCATAGTTTTGCTCCCATTTTTCATTCATTCACTTAAGCCATAGGGACAGGGTAAGAAAAGGACAAGAGAAAGCCCCCTGCCAAAGCCAGCACCTTGACTTTTACCCATCCATGTGGAATGTAAATATTTATTTCTGAATATTTGTAAGAGTAAGCAAAAGCCATCAGTAAATGCTTAAAAATCCTGGCACGCCGTTGCTGGGCCAGCACAGAGCAGGCAGAGGTGGAGGAGATTTTGAGCCACTCCTGCAACCTACAGACCTGGTTTGAAGAGGCTGCTGGTGTGGCTTTCTTCATGGGCATCTGCCTCTTTTATCTGCTGTATCAAAATCTATGGCTTTAAGGAGTTCTGTTATACTGGTCCAGCTCTTTTATCCAGCGTAAAAGGGTCAGGAAGGACTTAAGCAGAGGTATGATTCCCGTACACATCAGGAACGGACCTGGAGTAGTGTGAATGTAGGTATCAAACATTTGTTAAAAGGCCCCTTTTGCACTGGTTTGCTGTTCATAAGTATTTTAAAAGTGGAAAGTGTATACTGTCATACATAGTGTAAAATGCATAAATGGCCCTTACCATCTCATAGTTAGGCTTTCATAGAGAAAATGACATCATAATCCACCTTTCAGTATTTTATACTCCACAGTGCTGCAAACCTGGATATACTGCAAGCAGTGAAGTGTACTCAAGACTCTGCTGGTTTCTGCCTTATCAATCCTAACTTTATAATATTCCATTTCTTCTCCTAAGTGAAAAAATGGATACTTCTGCTATGTGGAAAAAGACATCTCATCAAAATCCTTAGCTAGAGGATTATCAGCTTGTAACACATCTGCAGTTTTGTAACTATCTATGCTTTATGAAAAGTGCCCTGCCAAATGTTCTTTACTGCAAAGAATGAGAGGTAGAAATATTTTTTAGTAAAACCTCTGGGTAGCTAACATTAATAAAGGACTTAACCTTTTTTTTTTCAAGCAATTAACTCCATTCACTTTTATGGAGTGACTTTTAATTTTGATCAATAAACATGAGAAGTGTATCAGACCAATGGGGAGAGTATATGCAACAGGGAATAGCTAGACAAGAACTTGCAAATACATTAAGAAGATGTTTCCTAGCTGGACAGAAATTAAAATGAAATAGAATTGAGAAAGCAGTTTGTATAAAATGACTTGCAATTCTTTTTGTAAAGCTATCTGTTCAGGAAAAAATTTTCATAAATCTTTTCATTATGCTTATTATACCTAATAAATGATGGTATCTATGTATTGTTTCAAAAGTGAGTCTTAGCTTTTGTTCTCTACTAAGAGCGAGGAGTATGGAAGCCCCCAAAGCCTCTTCTCAGGCATCACCTTGGAGCACCTGGCTACGCTGCCTGGATTTGAGAGGGGAGAGTAACTTCCAAATCTAGCACCACAACAGCTTCTATTATTCTTCAATCTTATTCTGGCTGTCTCCAAGGCCTTGTTCACAAGTGCGTGAGAAGACTGGACTTGTTCTGTTTGCTTATGGGCTATGTGGAGTCAAGTAGCTATACGCACAATTCGGTGCTATGGTGTGCTACAGTTTGTTTTGGCATGGGGGGCAACGTGCTCCTGTTCACCGAATAGGAAGCCAATGTGGTCCCACGTGATGTTTTTCCTCCAACAGATGTGGCAATCCCGTGAGGAAGCAAAAGGGAACTTGAGCAACCACTGATTGTTGGTTGGCAACCACGACTTACAGTTTCTTTAACATTAGCTGGACACTGACCCAACACCTGGAGGTGGGGAAAGGTGACCAAACCAAGGTTTAGGAGTGTGACTCCAACCTGGATGAGAGAGCAGAGCATAATTAAAAGGCAAAGAAAATCTCCAGTGACAGATCATCCTCCATTCTCCCTCCCCTCCCCTCCCCTTGCTGCTCTCAGCAGCTTCACCACCGCCTCCGCCTCTCTCTCCTCCTCCTCCTCTTCCTCCTCCCTAAGGGTGACAGAGCAGTGTCAGAGCTGGTGGCTGTGGCTCTGCAGGACGCAGCCCCAGTCTCCATTCCCTGCTGCCACTTTCCCCTTCCTAGGAGAGAGGGGGAGTGGAGCATCTTTGCTGACCCCCACACGGCAGCAGGCACCCTCAGCCTGGCTCACTGCCCCAGGCCCCCACAGGGAAGGCTTTCTCCAAAAAGAGGAGGAGGTCAGGTGGGTATCCAACAAACAGAAGCATCGCAGGGGCTAGAGCTCAAGTGCCTGCCTTTAGGGTAGTTTGCTTCCAGTCATGCCAGGCCAGTTCACCACAGATCCCTAGAAAAACACATCCTAAACCCCACGGCAGAAGAACAGTGAGAAAAGGTACAAAACTGTTGTACAGGTCCCGGTGCTGTTGCCTGTGATTGCTGCGACAAGGGGAGCACAGCAAAAGCAGTGTGCAAAATGAAGTCAGTTCTGACCGACAAGCAAGCTGAATCCAGAAGCCAAGGATGTGCCTTAACTAGATTATTAACTAACTAGTTAGGTTATCAGCTACATTGTTAAATTAGTCTACAGCCAGGTCAAGTAGCTTATTAACTAACCAAATTGTTAGATTAATTTGAGCTAAGTCAGCATCAGAAAGTTTGGATTTTCAAGCAAAGGAAATTAGAGGAAGAGAAGACATCCCTTTAGTTCTGCATCCCCGTTTGGCAGGGTTCTTGCTGCAAGTCTTGCCTGTAAGAGAAAAGGGCACTTAACCACTAAGAGCAGCACAACGAAAGACTTAAAAGTTTCATTGTGCCCAATCAGGAAAGAACAGATGTCTGCAAGATTTGGCTTTCCAGAACATTAGGTCCGCTACAACAACAGAACTAAAGACTTGACTGCCAAAGGCATTGCTGCTGTTCCTGTCAGATTAAGAATTAGGGAAACATCCTCCAACAACCACATTTTGTCTAATTCAACTATACTACTGAAAAGGAAAGGAAAAATTGTGCTGAAAACAAGTGGAATGTCAAGCAGCCCTACAGGTACAAACTGAAGCAAAAGAAATAATTAGAACTTTCTACTGGTTCAGTATGTTCAATTTAATTTCTGGTGTTTCTGTCAGAGCTTATATAACCTGTGGGCATCTTGGTCTTTTCAATTTTCTCTCCAAATATGTCCATATTTCACTATACAATTTTCAGGCACCTGCCATTTCATCTTAAAATACAGCCTGCTTAATCAATAATTCAAATGTAATCTAGTTCACAACTATGTTAAAGTTGTGCATATTTTGTTGCATGAACTAATGCTATGAGGGAAGTTTTCACCCCATTGACATAACTTGCAAAACATTTATTGATTTTCTTGAGGCTGACATTTCATCCTTGAAGCACAAACCCCATTTTTACATGTGCTCAGAATCAATAGCATCTCTATGGGATGCTCCATTGATTTCAGCAGCTCTGTTTGCTTCTGGAGCAGGACACTTGTCCATACGAGATAAGGAACAAGAATTCAATCAGACAGGATCATTCCCAGAATAAAGGGCAATTCGATGTGTATAAGATTAGCAGAATCTGGGTCATAATTAAATCACATTTTGTTAGATACACAACGTGGTCACTGTAAAAAGATTCATTTTTGCTTCTGACACATCTCAGTTGTGCCACAGTTATTACTTATAATTCAGTTTCTTGGAAGTATTCCTTGCACATTTCTATATTCGGTGGATTTCTGTGTGCTCTGAAGATGAGTAGATTTAAGAAAAGAATGAAACATCAAGTTTGTGATAAGGGAGAACAGCATTGGCCCATTTGTACACTCTGTCGGAACATGGGAATCAAACTGTCTGCCTAGAAGGGTAGTGAACTGAACAACTGAAGAGTTACCTCAGAGTCATATTGGAAATTCAAAACTGAGAACTGAAAGACTGCTTGCTATATAGTTAATAATGGGGAAAAAGAGATGAAGTCACATGGATCTTCCATTACCTTTTTCCTCACTGTCAAAATACTGCTTTTGCTAGAAATTTTGGTTTCAAGAAAAAATTGTTACTCTGGTGCAGCTGCATAATGATGTCTAGGCCTAAATTTTACCTGCAAAGTTTTTCAGTGCTAAGTGCCAAAATCTAGAACAGCACCTGGGTAACCTTAAGGTTGCATATGGTTCTGATGGGGTCATCAGAGCTGTTACATAGATGGTTGCTTAAGTGACCTAATACATTATGGCTCATATGCCCATCTACACACACTGGTTAGTTCCACAGATTTCCTACATATGAAGTGACGTAGTAAATTTTTTCAATTTTGCTTTTCATTTTTTTATGATCAGAGTGAAAATGTGGATGCATTATGGAATTTTGCATGTAACTGTTGGGTGCAAGGAGAATTTACAGGAACAACTTTCAAAATAGTTTTACTGTTTATGATAAATGTGGTGAGAGTAGACCAAGCTGCCCTCTCTCGGATAGCTTTTATGACACATCTTTTTACTTGTGCCACTGTTTGTCTAAGCCATCTGCTGTTCTGTAAAAATAGTTTTGTGACAACCTACTCTAATGATCGTATCATACGGAAAAGAAATTATATTAGGTATCCATGGACAACCCATCATAAGGCACTTTGAATAGCCCTTGATTGTTCACATGCAGTTCAAACAGAGCAAGATGTTGCCTGCAGGATTTTTCCACAGAGTAGTGTAAACCCAGGAGAAGCAGATTCACTCAACTATTGACTGTAGGTCTGGGTCACATGCCCCGCT